AAATAGGGAGCTGCCTTATAGGATACTAGCCTGTTACCCATGCTTCGCTACGGTATTTAAGTTCCGTAAATCCAGTTATAATACTGATGATGTGAAATTTGAAATGTGGCATTTGTTGTAGGAATTCTAACAGAGAAGATTGTAGTGTAAGAAATGAAGTGAGACATACGTACTTTTCCCCTCTTTCCTAAAGGACCTCTCTGTAGATCAGATTGGTGGTTCTGCCCTCAGTGCTATAAGAATCCCACCTCCTCTCCTACACCTGACAGGCAGCTGCCTGTCCAGTGTAGGAGGGGGAGGGGGGAGGAGTATTAGAAGCCACTGTGGAAGTGGGGCTGGACCTGACAGACAACTGCCTGTTAGGTATAGGAGGTGGGGGGAGTGTGTTGGAAGCCATCAGAGAGGCTGGGCCAGCAGCTTTTCTTCACCTCACAGGTTGTTCTTGGCCACTCCTGATTTCCTCAACTGTCATTAGCTCTGTGCAGTCCCCTGTAACTGTTGGTTTTTTTAACCTCAGAACACTGAGCTCTGCAGCTGACCAATCAGAGAGTGGGGGGTGCAGAGAGACAGCTGCCTGGCAGCCGCATAGGAATTAATGGGGGGAGCACATTTCCCCCCTTTTGACCCACTTAGGGGTCGAATTTCTAAAAATCCCTTCTTAGCAAGCACCTATGCCACAGTAGGAGCGCTTTCCCCGATGTCTCGGTGTCTCTAGGCCCAGCGGTTTGACCTGGGCGTTGATTTTACAGTGAGGGGACTTTCTGTTATATAGATACATGGCATAGATGTAACATTTCTTAACCTATGGTTAACCTTAAGAGTTCCTCAGTGGACTCATGTGCTTCCTCATCTTTCCAGCTATCCGTGCACGCCCTTCGATGTTTCATCATTAGTCATGTTTACTATGCCTTCATTCTTAGCATTATTGTTAATATGGGTGTAGTGCTGCACTGTGGCTAATGTGAAGATGGAAAGATGGAAGAAGATTCAGGCAGGGAAGACAAAGAGGTGTGGAATGTATAGTACATGGTTGAGAATTTGGAAGTCATACGACTGTACGACGCTGTAAAGAGGTGGTGCCATGGTCCATCCAGTGCTGTGTCATTGATTTTGGCTCTCCGCTGCCCATGCTCATGGGTGTTGATCTTTGTCAATACCTTTTTTCTAAGATGCCTTAATAAGACTCATGCGTGTAAGGTGTTGTCAAGTCACAACTGACATACGGCAACCCCATAGGGTTTTCAAGGCAGGAGTCTAACAGAAGGTGTGGTTTGCCATTGCCTTCCTCTGCGTAGCAATCCTGGAATTCTTTGGTGGTCTCCAATCCTAATACTGTCGACGGACAGAACTAGCTTCCAAGTTCTGATGAGATCAGGCTAGCCTGGGCAGGTCAGGACAATAAGACATACCACCAGTAAAGTATTCCATAGCTTAGCAATGGGGTCTTCCTTACTTTTAACATAATGGTACAATAGAAACATCAACTGTACAGGGTCTGGATTTTCTGTTAATCTTTGGTACCTTTCTTAAGGACTTTGCGCAAAGTGAAGTGAATGTGTAAAGAAGTCAGTCTTCTATGTCCTAACATGTAATTTGTAATCTCTCCAAATATTTGAAAGTTCTCAAGGGACATACCATTACCTTTCACTTTTGTGTTGAAAACTTGTGCCGCAATGTCTGGATTTGAAGACTGAGTTCAAGATGTTGTTGTGGGCTGGAGGGAATATTTTCTGCAAGTGTCTCACAGTTTATAAATGTGTGTACTGTAGATACGGCATGTCCATGGTCTTCCCAAATTATATTTATGGAATCACGAGGCCTCCCTTTAGAGTCTTCTTTATGCACCAAGGAGCAGAGCTGTGCAGTCTTTCATGCAAGGATGGCTTTGATTATTTCATATGTAAGTCAGCCTCTTTCCGTATGTTCAGCAGTAATTGTTGTTGTTTTTTTACCATCAAGTCACAGCTGATTTATGGGGACCCTGTAGGGCTTTCAAGGCAACAGACGTTCAGAGGTGGTTTACATTGCCTGCCTCTGTGTCATGACCCTGGTATCCCTTGGAGGTCTCCTGTCCAATTACTGACCAGGGTCGACCCTGCTTAGCTTCCAAGATCTGAGGAGATTGGGCTATCTAGGTCAGGAGCAATACTCTACTGCAAATTGTTGGATTAATTTGCTTAAATCTTGTGTCATAGTGAAACTTTCCTTAATTGACCAACTGCAAGCCATATGCTGCAGCTGTACAAACTCATTTTTTTACAACAATTGTATATTTGAATAGTGTTACCTTCGTGAGTCACCATATGGAAGACCAATAAAGGATCATAACATTGACTGGCATTGGCTTCCCTTGCCTACAATTTACAACAATGCTTCTATGTATTAGTGCAGCATCATGTGGTTCAAAACCAGCTGGTATTTCTCCAACTTGTGGAGTGTTTTAAAAGCTTCATTAGGTTAGTAATAAAACATTCTGGAATATACTTTTGGCTGGTTTCTCTCTTCTGCTGCATTGCTCCCCCCCATGTGCAGAATTTCCTTCATATAACAATATATTTCTGTGTGAGGATTGGATTAACACTAGCAATAAAATAGCAATTCTTGACTTAGATGTGATTTGTTTTTTACATGTTGTTACATGTGGAGTTCATTTGCTTCTTCTGTATTTGAAATTTGCCTGTAGGCTGATGGACAGTTCTGTAAATTTGAAAGCAATGTGTTCCACGTCCAGGTGAACTTTCAAATTGCTCACTGTAGATAACAGAAGAAAATGTGCTGTTATACTGGCTAATATTATCTAGGAAACTGTGTGAAAGAAGATGCTCACCAGCATCTGTTGCCCCAGAAGGTCGGACCAGAACCAATGGGGTGAAATTAAATCTAAAGAGTTTTCGACTAAACATTAGAAAGAACTTCCTGACAGGGCGGTTCCTCAGTGGAACAGGGTTCCTCGTGAGGTGGTGGGCTATTCTTCTTTGGAGGTTTTTAAGCAGAGGCTAGATGACCATCTGGCAGCAATGCTGGTTCTGAAAACTTAGGCAGATCATGAGAGAGAGGGCAGGATGGGTTGCATCAGTGCTTAGTTCTCATGGCCCTTTCTTACACACTCAGGGAAATGCTGATTGCTATTTTGGGGTCAGGAAGCAATTTTCTTGAGGCCAGTTTGGCCAGGGATCCTGGAGGTTTTTTTGTTCTCTTTTGGGCATGGAGCAGGGGTCACTGGGGGTTTGTGGGGGAGGTAGTTGTGAATTTCTTGCATTGTGCAGGTGGTTGGACTAGACGACCCTGGTGGTCCCTATGATTTTGCGATTTTATGATTCTAGTAGTGCTGTGAAGACTTGTGGGCATGGTTCAAACTGTGGCCCATTGTGCCAGTATGTTAAGGCTCGTCACTTTTCACTCATCTAAAATGTTTTGCAGAGCAGTATTGATATACATGCATTAAATTGTGTGTATCAAAATTGAGAATGTTCTTGGCAATCAGGAGGACTTGCAGTTTTAACTCATAAAGGCATGTATTGTGTGATCTAAGCTACATCCTCAGCAGGGGTCATTTCTTAGAAAAAGAGGTACAGGAGCTCATTTGCATAACTCATTTGCATATGCCACACCCCCTGACAAAGGGTATGCATGCATGCAAGCATGCCTGGGTTCCCTGCCTGATCTTCTTCAGGTGCCTCATGGCTACGGGGCACCTGGAGAAGATAGGGCAGAGAACCCAGGCATGTTTAGAATGCCTTTCTCTCCCTTCCCCATCACAGGATGCATTAGCTGGGATTTTATGGAACTGTATTTTATATTTTATAATTGTTGGTTTTAACCGAATGTTGGTTTTAAATTGCTTGTAAGTCACCCTGAGCCACTTCGGCAGGAGGGTGGGGTAGAAATTTAATAAATAAATAAAAATAAATTAAAAAATTAAATCCCTCCCTTCCCCGAGTTTCTCAACAAAAGCAGAGAGGCTTAGGGGAAAGGGGGGGCATGTCTGCCCGCCTCTCCTTCCCTTTTCCAGCCAGCCCGCTGTGGCAGGCTGGGTGGAGAAGGGGAGGGGAGGGCAGGGAGGCAGATAGAGAAGATCAGGTAGGGAACCCAGGCATTTAAATACCCCAATTCCCCCGAGTTTCTTTGCAAAAGCGGAGAGGCTCAGGGGAAAGGGGGGACATGTCTGCCCGCCTCCCCTTCCCTTCTCCCATGGCAGGCTGGATGGAGAAGGGGAGGGGAGGGCAGGGAGGCAGACATGCCTGCGTTCCCTGCCTGATCTTCTCCAGGTGCCTCGTGGCTGTGGGGCACCTAGAGAAGATCAGGCAAGGAACCCAGGCATGTGTAGAATGCCTTTCCTTCTCTTCCCCAGATGGGGAAGGGGAAAGAAAGGCATTTAAATCCCCCCCACTCCCCCGAGTTTCTCCGCAAAAGCGGAGAGGCTCAGGGGAAAGGTGGGGGCATGTCTGCCCGTCTCCCCTTCGCTTTTTTTTAGGGGGGGGGCGTCCCGGGCTCCTTACTACCGGAGCGCTGCTCTGCCGCACTCCGGTAGGAAATGTCCCCTGATCTTCAGTATTCTATGTCATAATGCTGTTTTGTACATTTTATTGTTTCTGCTTGATAAACACACATCTGTCCTTTTTTAAAAGCTACTTTCCCTATAATAAATTGGATTTACAAGTACTGACTGTTTCTTTCTATGGGGTTTCAGCTACCTAGGGTTTTCCTCCCACTTTTCACTCTTCTGTGTATTATAAAGTCCTTAGGTCTGCTACATGAAGCCCCTTCCTCATGCTAAATTGTGTAGCAGTTCACAGAGTTCCTGGATTGAGGGGGAAATGGCTAGGGGACTGAAGGTTGGAGGGTTGTAGTTGGAAAGAACCCAGAAATGAACCCATTGCACACACAACACTTTGGAGTTCTTCAGATATAAGCCATCATTTGGGGTTTTTTTAATGTTCCCATGTGGAGATCTTAGTCTTACTATGAAAAACTCATGAAATCATCTTTCATTTTCATAGCTGATTGCTGTGTATGACGAACAAGATCAACACCCAAAGCCTGATGACGTAAATGGTAGCCTGACAGACAGAAATAGTCCAGATGCTTTTGAGACTGAAGTTGCTACCCAGCTGGCTGCATTTCAACCTATTGGAGGAGAGATCGAAGTGACACCATCTGCTTTGAAGTTAGGTAAGTGTATGTGAGCTTTCACTTTTTTCAAAGGATAATCCTTACCTTATAGAAGTAGTAGATGCTGTTACTGAAATCGTTCTCTCACTGGTACTTTTTGTCTAGAAGGATTTGTATGATCTGTGCCAAAATACTAACATTTTGTGGCCTTTATATATCATTCTATTTAAGCACATTTTGTACTCTTTGCTCTGTCGTTCACATTTGTTGTGCAAGAAGTGGCATTCTTGCGAGTGGATTATAGAACGAATTTCTTGTGATATCAGTGGGGTTCCATGTGGCCAAGTGCAAGGTGATGCACATTGGAGCCAAAAGTCCTAACTATAAATGCACATTGATGGGGTCTGAACTGGCAGAGACTGACTGAGAGAGATCTTGGAGTCATAGTAGGTAACTCACTGAAAATGTCGAGACAATGTGTGACTGCAATAAAAAAGGCCAATGCTATGCTGGGGATTTTTAGGAAGGGTATTGAAAACAGATCAGCCAATATCATAATGCCCCTATATAAATCGATGGTGCAACCTCATTTTTAATACTGTGTACAGTTCTGGTCACTGCACCTCAAAAGGGATATTATAGCTTTGGAAAAAGTGCAGAAAAGGGCAACTAGAATGATAAAAGGGTTGGAACACCTTCCCTATGAAGAAAGGTTAAAGCGCTTGGGGCTCTTCAGCTTGGAGAAACAACGGCTGAGGGGTGACATGATCGAGGTATATAAGATTATGCATGGTATACAGTAGGTAGAGAAAGAGGTACTTTTCTCCCTTTCTCACAATACAAGAACTCATGGGCACTCAGTGAAATTGCTGAGCATTCGGGTTAGAACAGATAAAAGTACTTCTTCACCCAAAGAGTGATTAACACATGGAATTCACTGCCACAGGAGGTGGCGGCTACAAACATGGACGACTTCAAGAGGGAATTAGATAAGCATATGGAGCAGAGGTCCATCGGTAGCTATTAGCCACAAGGTAGATAGGGACTCTGGGGCAAGTGATGCTCTGTATTCTTGGTGCTTGGGGGGCAGGTCAATAGTGGGAGGGCTCCTAGTGTCCTGGCCCCACTGGTGGACCTCCTGGTGGCATCTGGTATTTTTGGCCACTGTGTGACAGAGTGTTGGACTGGATGGGCCATTGGCCTGATCCAACATTGGCTTCTCTTATGTTCTTATGGGTCCATTTCCTTATTTTTATTCTCTGGTTGAATTTTGTGATGAATGTTCACATTGTGGGGTTGTTGCTGTTCTTAAATATTTAGACCACCCTCCCCCAATACTTGGAGCTCAGGGTAGTTGACAACATTTAAATACAATTTAAATTAAATACAATTTAACATTAAACAGTTTAATTTAAAACATTTAAACAAAATAGCAGTCATTCCCAAAAGGCACCGAAAAATAAATTATTCTTAACCCCAAGGAGGTGAGTGAACGGAAAAAGAGGCCAGGCTGATTAAGACAGTTGGTTAAGAATTTGGTTAAAAATGGTTGCCGTCCTCAGCCCTAAGCCTGGTGGAATATCTTTGCCTTAGAAGTCCTGTGGAACAGAGCAAGGTCACGCAAGGCACGGATGTTGTTTGACAGAGAGTTCCACCAGGTTGGAGCCAGGGTGAAAAGGCTCTGGGTCTGGTTGAAGACAGCCGGACATCTCTTGGGCCAGGGCTCTCCAGAAGATTTTTCTCAGCTGAGCGTAATGCTCTTTGGGGGACGTGTCAGGAGAGGTGGACCTGAAGGTACGTTGGTCCCAGACCATTTAGGGCCTTGAAGGTTAGTACCAGAACCTTGAACCTTATCCAGTATTCAACCTGGAGCCAGCGCAGCTGGCAGAGCACCAGTTGGATATGCACTGTTAATAGAGTTCCGGTAAGAACCTGTGCCACTACATTCTGGACTAGTTGTAGCTTCCGGGTCAGTCTCAAGGGTAGCCCTGCGTAGAGCGAGTTACAATAGTCTAGCGTTAAGGTGACCATTGCATGGATTACCATGGCTAGGCCAGGGTGAGACAGCAAGTGGGCCAATTGCCTGACCTACTGAAGTTGAAGGAATGCCAGTCTGGCAACATTCATGATCTGAGCCTTCATCGATAAGGAAGCATCCAGAAGCATGCCCAGGCTCTTAATGGTGAATGTTGGTGTTACTGGCACACCATCCAGAGCTGGGAGTTGGCACCTCAATCCTGAATCTCCCACTCTCCAGCCACAGAACCTCCATCTTAGATGGATTCACTCCCAGTCCGCTCTGCTTCAGCCAACCAACCTTCGGCCAAATTATTTCGGGCGGTGCCCAGCCAGCCATCAGCAGATACAGCTGGGTGTCATCAGCATATTGATGGCAACCTAGCCTTAAACACTGCACCAGCTGTGAGAGGGGGTGCATATAGATGTTGAACAGCATTGAAGAGAGGATTGCCCCCCGAGGGACCCCACATGCCAGGGGGTATTAGGTGACATCAGCTCTCCAAGCACCACCCTCTGTCCCTGGTAAGACACTTCAAGCCTACCCCCATGGACTCCACTTCAGTGAAGCAGTGGGCCCACAAATCGTGGTCAACCATGTCAAACTGCTGTCAGATCGAGCAGTAACAGCAGCACCGACCCGCCTCGGTCCAGCTGTCTGCGAAGATTGTCTGTGAAGACGACCAGTGCGGTCTCCATCCCATGGCCAGGGAGGAAGCTCGATTGGAAAGGATTTTAGACAGAAATGCTGTATTCATACTGCCCTGGACATTTTCCTCCTGTTTATTCTCCCCCCCCCCCATCCTAAGTATTAATGGCATGGTGCAAACTTGCTTGACAAAGCAGTAGCATTTCTGGGCTACATCCAGTTAGATTTATAAAGCTGCAATCAGGAAGCTCACTTGGGTGACCTTGTGCCAGTCGCATGTTCTCAGTCTAATCTACCTTACACAGTTGTTGCGAAAATAAAATGGAGGAGAGAACAATGCAAGACCCTTTGGATCCCCATTAGGGCTGCCAACTCCAGGTTGGGAAATACCTGGAGATTTTGGGGTGGTGGTGGAGCCTGAGGGGGGAGGGGTTTGAGGAGGGGAGGACTTCATTCGGGCACAATGCCATAGAGTCCATCTTCCAAAGTGGCCATTTTCTGCTAGCGGACTGATTCTGTTGCCCGGAGATCAGTTGTAATAGTGAGAAATCTTGAGCCACCATCTGGAGGTTGGCAGCCCTAGCTCTCATTGGGGAGAAGAATGGATGAAAATGAAATAAATAAAATATGTTGCACAATATAGAAGAAGAAGAGGAGGAGGTTGGATTTATACCCTGCCCTTCACTTGGAGTCTCAGAGCAGCTTACAAACTCCTTTCCCTTCCCCTCCCCACAACAAACACCCTGTGAGGGAGGTGGGGCTGAGAGAGCTGCCCTTGAGAGAACAGCTCTGACAGAACTATGGCTTGCCCAAGGTCATCCAGCAGCTGCAAGTGGAGGAGTGGGGAATCAAACCCAGTTCTCCCAGATTAGAGTCTGTGTTCCTAACTACTAAATTATGGTGTGTAGTCTTGGGAATTCACAGTCCCAGCCTTGATCTAGTATTTCATTGTGAAGGAAGTAGAGGAATCTCGTAGACTTTGCACTACTACTGTGAGAAAGGTCCAGCAGTTAGGGCTGTTCAATACACATAGTTCACCCTCGTGCTTTATGTTGGCCAAGGATGAGGCATTCATCACTGCCTAATAAACCTAAATCTATTTCCCTTGTCCTTGACTTTGTACTTTCTATATGTCGGCGTAAATATGTAAGTCAGGGATAAAGTTCCAGTCTATAAAGTGTTTTGTGATGTTGGTGGTTTAAAGGTGAAATGTGGCTGCCGAGTCATAAGCTGCTTCTTTTTATATCAATTACCAAATGATTTTATTTTCTCTTAGGCTGGGAGTTGAAGGAAAGCTTAATAGGAAAATCACCTCTGTATTTCTGCTTTACCGTTTTATCTGCTTATTAGCATAGTTACCTTTAACGTTATTTTTTTAATGAATCTTAAATTGCTTAGTAGGTCGAGAACGGTAGAACATGGGAACTCAAAATGGCATTGAAGACCTTTTAGCCTGAATTCTCAACCCAGTAGAGGATTGTAGCCCATAAATCAGATTTATGAAGTGGCACTTGAACGTGTGTGCCCTCTCTGTGCCTCCCTTCCTATTCTGTTGAATTCAAAGTTATTTCCTTCCAATGTAGTGCATCTGTGCATTCTCTAATGCCATCTCGCTGCACTTTATTCAGTCCCCCCCCCCTCTTGTTGCTTGCATATTTCAAAGACTTGTCTGGACCTTTTTCCCCCTTAACCACTTTCTGACCATACATGTTCTATTGGAAGGAGTCTTAAGGTCTGTGCTGTGTCTCAGTGGTGGTGAACCTGAACACATTAAGCTGCCTTATACTGAATCATACCCTTGGTCCATCAAGGTCAGTATTGTCTACTCGGACCGGCAGCACCTCTCCAGGGTCTCAGGCTAAGGACTTTCATGTCACCTCCTACCTGATCATTTTAACTGGAGATGCTGGGGGCTAAACCTGATACCTGTGTGCCAAGCAGATGCTCTGCCAGTGAGCCACAGCCCCTCCCATGGTTTGTATAAAGTGCGTAGGTTGTGGTTTAGTTACTGCAGCATCCAATCTGGATCCAGGCCTGATGAAAAAAAATGTAAGGTGCACATTAAATAAATAGTAAAAATCCCCACATTCTGTCCCTGGGATCCCACGGAAAAACAGCATAAGTTGCCAAGTTGCAGAAAAGTCTGATCTCAGACCCTAAAGTCTCACCAGTTAGTACATATGTTTCTGATTAAATAGACCATAGGTCTCAGTCCAAATAGGGCAATTTGGGCAACTCTTTACTGTTTTCTTTTTAATTCCTGCTTTGAAATACAGTGAAAAATGAATTTTGAAATGAGATTAACTAATGTCTCTGTTATTCTTATCGGTATAGGCTATGGAAATGCAAGCTCACAGTTAAAGCCAGTGCTCATGTAGCTTCCAAGCTTCTCTAC